TCCTTAAACCTTTGGCTAAGCAAAAAAAAATTTTTTTTTTATAATAGTAAAGGAGCCTAGATAAATATATAAATAACCAGCGGTGCACTATGGGTGATCTGCGACGACTCGAGATGCGGGGTGGGCGGCGGATATGTCAAGGGCAGCATAGCGATGCCTCGAAAGCTGTGCCACACTGCCTCAACCTCACCCTCCTCCCTCCCTTCCCGGCTTGTCAGCTCGTCAGCTGCCAGCCGCCAGCTGCCAGCTGCCAGGGCCAGCCAGTATACCGCCCCAAGCATACCAGCCAGGGTCAGAATCAGGATCTCACCACCTGAGCCGGCTGACCGAACCGACCCAGGCACTGCGCAGAGCAGCACTCCGCGAAGGCTTATGCAGGTCCAAGCTCAGACGCTCAGATGCTCATGGTCAGACGGAATGGCATGGCATGGCATGGCATGGCATGGCATGGCATGGCATGGCACTGGCGGTCGACATGCTGCGTACTGGCGGCAGCGAGATCCGAATGGAGAGATCGTGGCGCTCTTTGCCAGCAACTGGCGTGTCGCTGCCCGCTGCCCGCTGCTCCTGACGCCTGTGCATCTCTCGTCGCATGACCATGCAGTGTACTGGCATTCAGCCGCCGTTCTCTGGCCAGCGACGCCAGTGAGCGTGAGTGGCATCTGGGTTCGCTCCTGGCGGCGGCTGCGGCATCGCATGGCCGGGCGTGGGATGGCGCGTGCTTCTACACCATCACGGAGAGCTGGCAGACAGTCATACTCCCTCGAGCAGACTAGCAGGAGGCAGTGAGGAGGCGCGTCACCTACATACTCCTTGCCACCTGCATACTCAGCATGTACGACCACAGGCAGTGGAGAACAGGGCTTCCCGTCCGCTCAGCCATACTTAAGCCACTGGCCGGCTGGTTAGTAGTTGGGTGGGTGACCACCAGCGAATCCCAGCTGTTGTACGTTTTTTGCATGAGGAGGTGAATGAGGTGAATAGGTGGGAGAGATCAGCCAGGGGAAGGGAACAAGGAGACAGCCCTGGCTCTACACTTGGCCGTCCTCTACTACGGAGTATCGGAGACCAGCGTCAATGTCGACGTAGTGCCGAGTCACATTATCGGAAGGACTGCGGCTGAAGAAGTCAGGGGTAGATGCAGATATATCCAAAGCTAGTCCTAGTCCAAGAGCTGAAGAGATGGGTAGTTGAGTAGATGTGCAGATGGGGACGAGTGTGGTGGCGGGGCAGGCCACGAGAGGCGAGGCGAGCCCTGGCGTGCGGGTGGTGACCCGACTGCTCGTGGGAGTCGGGTCAGGCGCGCGATCCCCGCAAAGTGGTCTGCCACGGCACGGCGTGATGGGCGGGACGAGTCAAGGTCTGACCCGGCCTGGCACCTGGCATCTGTTCGCCTGTTCACTTCGAAAGTGACGCGCAGACTAGCCCGCCACAGGGTCGTATCCGTGTCAGACCTGCTTGCGCGACGCGGCCAACGCGGCGGACTGGGCGAACACGCGCCACGCCCAACCACACCGCATGCATGGCTTCCTGCCACTCCTCCGAGACAGGTGGCGTGCGGCTTGCACCGCCCACGGCGATAGTAAGTGCAGCAGGCACCTCACATGACGACCTGCCGGCACCACCACAGATTAGCACGCGGGACCCAGCAATCATATCGTGGAAAATACAGGAAGCAGAAGCCAACTCACGCAATCGCTCTCCTTGGCCGTCTGCGGGACACCATGCATGGGTTTCCTCCTTTCCTCTTCGGCTTGTACTTCGCTTCGCTGTTGCACTACGCTATGCTTAGGCAGGCTTTTCACTCTACTCAGAATGCGCACATCCGGTCCTCGCACGGCCGCATCTTCGTTCTCTTCACTCGCCTTTGCCGCCGTCTTCGTCCTTGCATCACGCCGTGGCTGAACCGCGGTCGTGCTCTCTTTGCCCGACCGACGACTGCCCGCGGCCGTTACATCGGTCTCGTCCGCCATCCACCGTCCGCCGTTCGCCTGGCCTCGCCTCGTCCTGGCTCACCCCCCGCTCGCCCTTGCTATCGTCAGGTCCAGCTGGCTCGCCTTACGCTCCCGCCGTCACGCTGCCCATGTCGCTGGCCTTCCGACCTCGTCGCCCCTTGCCTCTGGTCTCTCTCCCTCAGGACAAGCCACCTCGGACAAGGGGGGGAGGGGCATGCAACACGACTCTTTTCTGCTTGCCGCAACTCACCTGGCATCCTGCATTTTCTGTTCCTGCTGCACTCACGCCTTGCACCGGCTGGTCCCTGACCATTCTATGCCGTCCTCATCCTGCCCTCACGCTCCTCCTCCTCCCCTCCTCCTCCTACTTCTTCTCTTCTTGTACTGCCACGTCTCAGCCGCGAGTAATCTGTCTTCGTTCATCCCAGACCTGCGCCTGACCTCGCAGGCCTTGCCATGTCCATGTCTCGACTTTTGCACCGTTCCATGTCGCCCAGATACATCAGCTACACCAGCTACATGAGCCCTGTGCATTCATCGAATGACGAGCTGAGCGAGCTCCGTCAACCCAGTCACATTGTCTCTTTTCTAGTCGCTCGCTGGAGATAGCTGCGTAGGTGGCCCGTACTCTTAAGGAGGCATCATCTGGAGCAATCGCGCACTGATCGCTGCCACTGCGGCCGCTCGCATGCAGGAATCAGATTGGGGTCGATCAAGAGACGCAGTGTACCATCGGCAACTTGGCTGTTGGCGCCGACCAACCATGGTGCATGGCTGGTAAGATGGTAGTCAAGCAGCGCCCTTATAGCACTACTGGCTTTTCTTGCGAAATCGCCTCTATGGTCTAGTTGGTTATGACGCCGATCTCATAGTTTCCGCTTTGGAGAAATTCGGAGGTCCTGAGTTCGATCCTCAGTGGGGGCAGCGCTTGTCTCATTTTTTGCACCGTACTCCTCCATCTGCACCGACGCACACCTCCATCTACATACACCTTGTAGCTACCCCAGCACGGCTCCAGCACGGAGCAAGGGTGGCGGGAGCAAAAAGACAAGTACAACAGCTGGGATTCGCTGGTGGTCACCCACCCAACTACTAACCAGCCGGCCAGTGGCTTAAGTATGGCTGAGCGGACGGGAAGCCCTGTTTTCCACTGCCTATGGTCGTACCTGGGAGGGTTGCGGCGCTTCAGGTCATGTGCGATAGGCGAATGCTTCATGCTCAGTGGGCAGCGCGACGAGCACCTGGGCGGTTTCGAGGCAGTGCATTCTGAGTGGACGGCGCCCATGATGCCCTCGCAAATCAACAACTCGACTGAGCAACAGCGCCTGGCATTCCTACGATCAGGACTGCCCACCTGAGGTGTGGCGAAACAAGGCAACCCGCAAGTGGTGAGATCCAATCCATTGCATGACTAGTTACACTCCAGCTAAGCACACGCCCCTAGTAGTTGCCGTTGTTGCCGCCGTAGGACCCGTACTCGCCCCTGCGCTGGTTGTCGCGGCCCCCATAGGACGACTCGGACGCACCGTAGCTACCGCCTCGGTCGTAGGAGTTCTTGCTGCTGCTGTTGTTGTTGTTGTTGTAGCTGTTGTCGGAGCGGTTCGACTCACTGTAGTCATTGTTGCCGCCAAGGTTCATGCGATTCATGCTGCCGTTGAGAGAGTCGTCATCGTTGCGGCGAGACCCGCCGTAGCTGCTGGAATTGCCGTACTCAGAGGTTGCGTTGCGGCCGGTGCCAGTGCTGCCGCTGCCGTACGTGTTGGAGCTCGAGCCATACTTGTTGCGATCCCTGTCGTTATCGTTGTCGTTGCCGAAGTTGCTGCGACCAGAGTTGCCGTAGCTAGTGCTGCTGCTGTTGCCCTGGTTGTAGCTGCTGCTGCTCGACTCGCGATCGTTGCCGGCCCCGTAATAGCTGCTGTTCTCGCCGTAGGTCTTGGTGCCGCTGCTACCGCCATTGTTCCTGTCGGAGTTGTCGCGACCGCCATAGCTGGTACTGCTGTTGCTGCTGCTGCCGTAGGAGTCATTGCCGCTGGTCTTCTTCCCATTGTTGTTGTAGCCATCATTGCCGCCGTAGCCGCTGCTGCCGTACGAGGCGTTGTCGGTCTTCTTGCTGCCATTGTCGCCGTAGCTGCTGCTGCCATAGCTGTCACTCTTCTCCTTGTTGCTGCTGTCGCCGTAGCCGCTGCTACCGTACGAGCTACCCTTGTTATTGTCGTTGCTTCCGTAGGTGCTGCTACCATAGGAGCTTCCGCTGTTCTTCTTGTCGTTGCTCTTCTTGTCGTTGCTGCCGTAGCCGCTTTCATTCTTCTTGGTGTCATCGCTTCCGTAGGTGCTGCCACCATAAGAGCTATCATTCTTCTTGTTGTCATTGCTGCCGTAGCTGCTGCTACCGTAGGAGTTGTTGTCCTTCTTGTTCTCATTCTTCTTGGTGGAGCTCTCATTGCTGCCGTAAGTCGTGCTGTTAGAGCCGTACGAGTCATTGTTGCTCCGGTTGCTGCCGTACTCATTGCTGCCAAAAGATTCATTCTTGTTCTTCCTGTCGGAGCTGGCATCGCTCCCGTACTTGTTGCTCGAGCTACTGTTGTCGCGGTCCTTCTCATGCTCACTGCGCTTGCTGCCGTCATTGTAGCTGCCATTTTCCTGCTTGTTGCCGCTAGAGTAGCTGTCGCCGCTGTTTTGGCCCTTCCTGCGATCGTCGTCGGAGTCGCGGCGGCCGCTGTTTCCCTTGCCAGAGCCGTAGGACTTGTCGTCCTTGCCGCTGCGGTCCTTGGACCTGTCCCGAGAGCCCTTCTCATCCCTGTCACGGGAGCTCTTGCGCAGCTTGCTGGAGATCAACTGAGTGATGCTCTGAAGAGAGCCTTCCTCGTCGTCGTACCTGTTCCCATCACTGCAGTCAGAATCGATTAAGCCCCTGACGTCCCCAAAGCATATCGGCGACCTCCCAGCACCGTCACAACTGACCTCGAACCCCCAGAGCGGCCATTGCCACGGCCTCCTAATCTGGACCGCGACCTCCGCGAAGTACTGCGGGACCTGTCCCTGCGCGAGGACCTGTCCTTGTCGCGGAAGTCGTCGTCGTAGCGGTCGTCGTCCCGGTTCCGATCCCTCGAGCCCTTGCCCTTGCCGTCCTTGTCTCCGCCGACGACGACCTGCGTGATTCCTTGCGCGTGCCGCACGATCCTTTCAATATCCTCGGCGCGCTTGGAGAGGTTGTTGAGATCGCCGGCCTGCTTGGCAAAGTCCTTGATGCCGTCCATGCTGAACCCCATTGTGCCGGTGATAGCTGTATCTTCTGTCGGTGTGCTTAGGGAGGTTGAAGTCGTGCACTCGCTCGATGCTGCTCAGAAAACCGAATCTGCGCGTTGTAGGGGAGAAGTAGCCAACGTGCTGACCTCGCGATGCCCCAAGCCGCCACCTTGCAGAACTTCGCGCTCATATACACCTGCAGCGCTCCGCACGTAAGCTACCCCACGCTGAGTTCCGGAGGCCATGGAGGGAAGCCCGGCAACCGCTACGGGTCGAGGATACGCCGGAAGTGGCCCTTCTCGCCACGAGCCGGTCTGACCCCGTCCATGGTCGCGGGCGGCACGCTGTTGACTCCACGCCGCTCCAGCAAGGAGAAGGCACCGCCTAGATGGTCCGAGAACGAGCAACTGGCTGAAATCTGCAGACCTGATCGATGCACACCTGCTAGCGGTATCTGTGCGAGCTGCCAGGGCTGAGCTGTGGCGGCGGTCTCCATCGCGCGTGCATGCAGACCGCTCGCGATCGCAGATCATGGCCCTCACCGCCGGCTGATTGATCTCGGCAGCTGTGCCAAGTCAAGTGGCTGGATCCCAGTGGTCCTGGCCATTCATCGAGCTCAATGTCAACCCTTGAGCTCAAGCTACTGTGGTGTAGCTTTACACGCACCCTGGCATAGCATTGGGGCGACCAATTGCTCCTGCCGCGCGCCATCTCCATCTCCTAGGTCCACGCTTATCGCCGCGGTGGCAGGCAGACATGTGTTCAGTCATCAGACCATCAATTGAGTTACAACGATCCATGGTCACGGCAGCGCGGCAGCCAGGGAGATGAGGAATGACGAACGTGACAGACAGCGCCTTGCAGGACCTCGTGGGAAGATGTGCAGTCTCCTGGACTGCATGCGATGAATGGCTTTGATGGCATCCTCCAGGGTCAAGTAGTCTGCAGGGGAAGGGTGTCTGAGGATATCTCTGTAGCACCTGAAGGCTCGCGAACCTCAATGAGCAGGAAACATCATGCCTTCAAGGAGGGGCGACGACATTAACATGTGTTGACGAAGCAGTTCTGAGAATGAGATGTGATAGCCCATTGACCATATTGGGAAGACTGGTGGTCGACATCTCATGAGCATCGCCTGACGAAAGCCGCACGGCTTTCTTGCTGCTGAGCATCGCTACTGGCCTCGGCTCTCTATCCCCCAGGTCAGCTCCATCGCCTGCAATCGCATTCTCGATCTCAGCAATGACAATGATAAATCAATTACTCACGCATGTACTTGGTGGCATAGCCGGCCAACGCCTCGCCGATCTTATCATCCTGGCCCTCCACACCAGTTTGATGCAGGAACTTCTCACGAGCGAAATCGAGGCCTACGAGAGGAGGCTCAATGTCAGCAACAGAGCAAGCGCAGTCGGAGACGATGACACCAAGCCAACAGTCAACTGCAGCAAACGAGTGCATGACCATACTCACCTTGAGAGATCATCTCCCCGGTGGGACTGACAGCAGGCTTCTTCGGCTCGTCGTGATGGAACATCTTTTGGGCCATTCCCTGCGCCATGCCTGCAAGGCCGCTTGACGAAGAGCCGCTGTGGCCCCTGCTCTCGTGCTCCGAGTAGGAGTCTCTGCCGTCGCGGTCATCTCTGTCATCACGCCCCTCGCGACGCTGTCGGCCCTCATCGTCATCGTCGCGGCCAGACCGCCGCTCGTCGTCATCACCATCGCTGCGCCTTTGGCGCCGGTCCTCGCCAGAGCTGCTGGAACTGCGGCTGCTGGAGCGACGGCGGCTGCTGTTGTCATCGTCGTCACGCCTCCGGCTCCCGCTGTAACGATCACCATCGTCATCGCCGCGGCGCTGCGAGCTAGAGCGACGCCCGCCACTGCTGCTACCACCACTGCCACCGCCAAGGAACCCCTCAGCCATGTTCATGAGACCCTCGGGCCCTTGCTTCTCCATCTGGTGCTCCACGACTTTGCCGATGACCTTCTGGCCGAGCCCGGAGCCGGCAACCTGTCCGATGATGTTGTCCATTATGCGACGACGATGAGCAGTTGCAAGAGCAAGTGTGAGAACTGTTGCAGGTGTGCCTAAGCTGAGCTGGCTCACGAATTGTATGGGCGGTGCGTTGCTTGTGCGATCGGGAAGAGGGCAAACGTTCAGACAGAGAGTCTGCAGCCTCTCCTCGCATGCAATCGGCCACGTTCGCTTTTATCATAGCTTGCCCGACCCTTCGCCGCCTCTCCGCCCCCTTTGCCCCTCACCGTCAGCATGATCTCCACTCGCCCACCGCCTGGCAGTCGACGCTGCATCTGCGTGGCACAGCCTGCGTGAGGCGCGCTGACTGGGCCAATGATGGGGCTCTGCAAGCTGCAGAGACCCGCCCTGACAGGGGTGTGGCTTGGGTGCTGTACTCCAGCGCGCTGAATCCACGTCAATCGGTGTGATCATCGAGAGGTGTGCGCCTCGGCGCGACTGCTCAGCATCATTGGTCCTTATTGCCAACAGTCCGCAATCTTGTAGCTGTAGCTACAGCCGCCATGATGAGATCGGCTTCAACCCGACTGTCAGTAGGAGCTGCTTATGCCCTGACAGCCATTCCAATCCGCCACAGCGGCTTGCTTGCAACAGAAGACACCAAGGAGTACCTAGCTCGAATTGCACCAGTGAACTGCTGCAG